CTGGCAGACCCAGAGTGAACTTCCTTCTCGTGCCCTTTAATAAGGCCTCCGGAACGGAGCCGGCCTGCCATGGCAATTTTTTCGGTTGCGTTACGAAGCAAGCGAGCTTCTCGCAAGCCGCGTGCAGCGAGCCACGCCAGGGCCAGGCAAGCCGCGCTGCCGCCGCAGGACCTTTCCGATGCAGATGTTTCTGCATTGCAGGATTTTTGTTTGCACTGCAGCACTGTTGCGGGACATCTGAAAATCTGCAATGCTGATTTGTTGTTCTGCTTTGCAGTTTTTGTTTTTGTTGCACGTGTGGGTTCGTCCGGCCACGAGCCGCCCCTGTGGGATATTGGGTGCGGCGTGGAAATCCTGTTGAACATCTGGGCTGGGCGCATGACAGGGCCCTTGGGCGTCAGGGCTTGCGCGCCCGAAACAGCTGCAGAACACAAGGCCCCAGCCCCCGGTCTGCCGGCCCCCGGTCAAGGGAGCCCCGACATTCTGGACGCCCGAGATGGGCACGGAAAGAATGGGTACGATGCCCAACAGCAGTTCTTGTTCATTCTGAACAGGACGCGCTGTGCGCGCCGCCGCGGCCTGTGTCCATTCGAGACAGGAGGCCGCCTGCCCAACAGCGGCCGCTGTTGGTTTGGGACAACATTTGTTGTTGGGCATTGTGCCCATTCTTTCGGTACCCATTTCGGGAGTCCAAAGACATCATGGAAAGTTTTCCATCCTGGATTGGTTTCTGACGGTCCCGGGGCCCGGAAGAGGTGTCGAGAGGCCGAGGTTTGCGGAACACTTCGATCCTCGAGCTTCGACCCGCGACATTCCCCCCCAACCCACCCACACACACACACAATGTATATTTGCGTCGTCGGTTGGCCCAGACAGGAGGCCTCTTTGCAAAAAAAATATTCCAGTACGGAAACTGGCAAAAACATAGTTTTCAGGAATTCGCGAAATATATACATACAGCGGGGGACCGGGTCCGGGGGCTGGGGGCTGGAGTCTCGACCACAAATCTGGGGCCCGGGGCCCAGGCCCGCCTCTGCGAGGCCTGAAATCGCCCCAGGGAGCCCTCAGACAGCAATCCCGGCGGCCCCAGACGGTCTCGAGACACCCCCAAGACGCTGTCCAGGGGTGTCTGCAGGCGACGCACGATGCGTTTTAAACTGCCCCGGAGGCCCCCAAGACGCCCCAAGAAGCCTTGAAGATGCCGACGAAGAGCGCCCTGAGAAAGCAAAGTTCGGTGTTTGGATTGGGTTTTGGTTCAATGTGTTTTGCATTCTCGCAGTTTCGTGTCTCCGGCGCTAATGCACCGCCCAAGAGGCCCCCGAAACCGCTCCAAGACGGCCCAAGAGGCCCCCAAGAGAGCCCCAAGACGGCCCGAGAGAGCCCCGAGACGGCCCCAGAGCCGCCCAAGACGGCGCAAGAGGGTCCCAAGAAGGCCCCAAAAGGGGCCCAAGAAAGGGAACGCGAACCGAAAAACCAAACTCTCCGCCCCAAGATGCCCCCAAGAGGCCCCGAGATGCCCCCAGGAAGCACCCAAGAGGCCCAGGCGAGGCCCCCAAGAAATTTAAAAGAGGCTCCAAGAGGCCCCAAGCAGCACCCGAAAGGCTTCAAAACTCTTTCTAAGAGGCCCCCGAAGACACGCCAAGAAGGTCCATGACGACTTCAAGGAGCAGTCCAGGATGCTCCGAGTAGGCCCCAAGAGGCCCCCAAGAGAGCCTAAGAGGCCCCCAAGAGGGCCCCAAGCAGCCTCAAGCAGCATCCAGGAGGCCGGAAGGAGGCCCCCGAGAGCCCAGCGGTCCAGGAGGGGGCCGAACGAACGTTTCCAGCCCTGGGCTCCCGGAAGCCCAACAGGAAGCCCCACGTAACTCGCAAGACCCCCCCCCGACGCTCCCGAGACGCCCAAAAGGCTTCCCAGACAACCCAATATGAAAAAGAAGCAAACAAAAACTTCGATGCCCAGGGGTGCGTTTGGACAATAATTTCGAGACGAAGCCAGCCTTGGCCACGAAGAGCGCCTCGGAGGCGGAAAGGAGGGCCACCCGGTTGCGGACCAGGGCCCGGGGGCCACGACCTCTACCACAAATGTGTGGCCCGGGGGCCCGGCCGGACCTTGAGGGGCCCAAAATCGCATCGGAGGGCGGTCCGATGAGCGCCATTGCGGCCCCAGCCAGCCGCCCACCACCCTGCAGACGGCGTTGACGTATCACGGGACGTTTCCAACGGCCCCAGAGGCTTCGAAGACGCTTCTTAACTTGTGCAATTTGCCCCAAGAGGGCTCCGAGAAGCAAAATAGCCGCATTCTTTCTGTAAAACTCGGGCTGGACGAAAGGGGGGGATTGGGAAAGGGGGGGGTACGAAATTTGCTGCATGCAGCTGGTTTCGGCCTCACGGAGGGGCCCCTTCCTCGATACATAGCCGCCTCCGGCGGCGGGAGGCGCTGGGAAGATCAGCTACGTGAGCTGATTCTCACCCCCCCTTTACTATCCCCCCCTTTCGCCCGACCCGAAAAACGTATATGTTTACCGTATTCGTGATTGTCGTCTTCGCACCATCCTTGACGACCTCAGGGGTCCCTAAGATCGCCCCTACACAGCCCAAGAGGCCCCCCAGAGGGCGCTGAGACGGCCCAAGAGGGTCCCAGGCCGGCCCCAGAGGCACCCGAAACGGCCCCAACAGGCTCCCAGAGGGCTCCTAGAGGAGCCCAAGATAGGGCAATCAAATGGGAATTGCCAGCCCCACGCCCCAAAAGGACCCCCGAGACCCCCACGATGCCCTAAGCAGCCAACACGAGGCCTCCAAGACGCCTCATATCCCTTGCAATTTCACCCCCAGAGGGCCCCGAGAGGCAAACATTGCCCCGTTCATTTCGTAAAACTTACATGTTAACCGCATTCGTGTTATTCGTCTTCGCACCGTGCTTGCCCCCAAGAGGGGCCCTAAGCAGACCCCAAGAGGCTTCCAATGTATGTGTGTATGCATGTCTATATGTATGTATGGCTGGATGGATGGGTGGATGGACGGATGGATGGATGGATATGTATATGTATACGTTATATATACGTATATGTATATGTATATGTACATGTATAGGTGTTTGTGTACATATGTATATGTATATGTATATGTATACGTATGATTATATTTATATGTATATGTACATGTACATGTATGTGTATATGTGTATGCATGTGTAGATGTATATGTATATGTGTACATGCATATGTATGTAAACTAACTATATGTATATGTATGTATATATGTAGGTGTAGATGCAGATGGTTATGGTTGTGTTGATATGTATGTATATGTATATATGTGTAGGCGCATGTGCATGATCATGTATAGGTGCATGTGTATATGTATGGGTACATGCATGTGCATGTTTGAGTATATGTACATGTATATATATATGTGTATATACATACGTATATGTATGTGTGCATGTATGCATGTATGCATGTATGCATGTATGCATGCATGCATGTATGTATGTATGTGTGTATGTATGTATGTATATATGTATGTATGTATGTATGTATGTATGTATGTACGTATGTATGTATGTATGTATGTATGTATGCATGCATGCATGTATGTATGTATGCATGTATGTAGGTATGTAGGTATGTAGGTATGTATGTATGTATGTGTACATATATATACATATAGACATATATATATTTGTGTGCATGTATAAGTTTATCGGTATAGATACCTGGGGGCGTGGCCAGGGGGTCCCGCCCAGGGACCTCGGCAGGGCGGGGGACCCGGGACCTTACTTTCCCTGTGCGTTTTTGTTTGAAAGGGTTTCGGCCACGCGGGGCCACGAGAGCCCCCGGGGACGTCGCCGGGGGGGTCCCGCCCAGGGACCTCGGCAGGGCATGGGGGGCTCGGGGCCTTACTTCCAGTTTATTTTTGCAGGTATTCGGCCGCGCGGAGCCACCAGAGCCTCGGGGGGCGTGGCCCGGTGGGTCCCGCCCAAGGACCTCGGCGGCGCATGGGGTCCCGGGGCCTTGTTTCCCCGATGTTTTTACAAGTAGGGAGCAGGGGCTGCTCCCGCCTGGTGCCCCAGGTATGCCACAGGCCTCCCAAAGGCCCCCAAGAGAGCTCTCCAAAGCTCGCACATTTGGTTTCCCTATATTCTTGTCCACGTTTCTCTCCATGCAGCCTGTTCTGCATCCCCACGCCGCGCGGCAGCCCCAGAGGACGTCCAAACCGTCCCGGATCGGCCCAAGAATCTCCCAACCATGTCCCAAGATGGCTCCGCACGGGAGGGTTGGCGCGCCCCAGTAGGGTCACAGAGCGGCCGGGGACGCTCCAAGATCCCTGCGACGCCGACGATCATCCCAAGACAGCCCCCCGAGCGATTTCGTCGACACTTCATGCTTCCGAGATGCCTCCCTGGAGGGCTCTCTGAGGCCTTCCTCCTTGTTTGTCAAATGTTTTTTTCCACGTCTTCACTCATCCAGCTTGCTCTGCATCCCCACGCTGCACGGCAGCCCAAGAGGACGTCCAGACCGATGTGTTTCTGACCACTGGGGCTCCCAACCGTGGTCCAATACGGTTTCGTATGGGCGGGCAGGCGCCCCCAAGTGGGCTCCACGAGCCGCTAGAGTCGCTTCCAGGCCTGCGCGGCGCCGACGATCGCCCCATGACAGCTTCCCAGGCCACAAGTTTTTCGTCGAATGTTTTTTTCAGAGGTTTCTAACCGCCCAGCCCATTTTGTTTCATGGCGGTGCAAGCTCTTCCTGAGAGGTCCCCGAGAGTGCCCCGCTGCGGCCCCAGAGGTTCCCAACCGTGCCCCATGACGGCACCAGAGGGCACCCTGACGGCCGAAGCGGTGATAGCGAAGAGCCCCGAACACCCCAACGAGGCCGATGAGGGCCACAAGAGAGGCCTGGGGCCACTTGCGGTCGCCACGGGCGGCCTCGGCATTGCTGATTGCGTCTCGACGTCCCACGACCGAGGCAAAGACCTGTCAGAGAGCTAAAAGGACGGTGAGGAAAAGGAGGGCGAGGGCACGGAGGACAGGAACGATGAGGACGAGGAGGGGGACGAGGAGGAGGAGGAGGAGGAGGAGGAGGAGGACGAGGACGAGGACGAGGACGAGGACGAGGACGAGGTGGAGGAGGAGGAGGACGGGGAGGAGGAGGAGGAGGATTTCAAGGATTTCCGCCATCCCGTAGGGATAAAAAAAGGCTGAGCTCAGTTGCCAGCTTTGGGGAACAAATCCCTCTCAATCCGACCGAGGTATTCCCGTCGGGTCTTCGAGAGCTGCGCACTGCACGGCTTGCCTAAGCCCCTGAGCTGGGCCTGACCGAAATAGCCGCATGAACCGCAGTACCAAACCCTCGAGGTGTGGTGATAAATTAAGGCGTGTGACGGGTCGACCCAGCCTCCTGCATGATGCAACCTACGCCCACGGGGAAGACGGGATAACCTACCATCCACAGGGTGGAGTTGGAAGCACTCACTTTTTAGCCAGTCAGTCATTTTAGCCTTGGTCGCAGAGCCTTTACACACGCTGCACGATCCCCCACTTTCGGTCAGGACGTGCGCGGACGCGAAGCGTGCAACAGCAACAGGAGGGGGAGGCGGGATGCGGGGGGCGGGCCTGGGCTCCTGAGGGTCGCGGCCGACTTGGGCAGCGGCGATGGAGTCGAGACCTGCGCGCAGCAAACGCTTCCTGACGAGCCGAGCCTTGTTCCCAACACGGGCTATCCTAGCACGATCGTCGAGGGGCGCTCTGGCACGGCGGGCAGCCTCCTTAGCGAGCTCATCAACCACACAGTTACCTTGAATAAGTCAGCTGGGCCACTGTCGCGCAGCGACCTGCCTCCCATCCAGGTGGGACGGGACATGAACTACAACACTATTCGAAGCATCCCTCCGCTGGTCGCGGAGGGTCTTTACAAGAGATCTCCATAAATCAGCTTGGGGCCCTGAGGGAGACTGGAGCTGGCCTTCGTACCAACCCCTCGCGACCTCGGCACAATCTGCGACATACAGAAGCGAGCCTACAGAGAACCTAACGGCCCAAGACAGCGCCTGGAGCTCCCCACGGGGCACCGTTTGGCTGGCCCCGATGAGAGGGCCAAGCAGATGGGGCCCCAAGGTGGCGGGCTCAAAAGAACTGAGACAGGCTATGGCGAGACCTACTCTGCGGAGGCGACTGTCGTGAGTATCGGCCCCTCCCGACGCGCCCCCGAAGACAATGAGAGGCCCCTCGGGAGTTCCAGTCCCAAGACAGGCGGGCCCGACAAGGCCTCCGTTAAGAAGCCCGTTGCCGTCCCAAGACTCGGAGGAGGGAGGAGGAGACACCTGAGTCCAGGGAGCGGGGATGAGCCCCCGCATCCAAAAACACGGATAGGCCTCAGAGTTGGCGACAGCCTCAGGAAGTAACTCTGCTGACTGAGCATGCGCAGGTGAATCCTCGTTTTTGGCACAAGTCCAACATCGATGCAACGCCGACTCCCGGCCATCTTTGCATCTCTCGCAGACATCACTTGAGCGCAAATCAGCGTCGAAACCCCGAGCTTTTGTCCAGAACCCGCCTGTGGCGATCGAGACCATAAGCTCCGACAATTGACGTCCTCGCTTGGCGTGTGCGAGGTCATCAACAAACTTTCGGCATGCATACATGTCTACCCCGTCCTCGAGGCCGCCACCGCAATATAACTCTGCAGCTTGACGCCACTGCTTGAGCTCCATGGCGCCCTGCAGTTCGTCCAGCAGTGGGGATGCCTGATCCAGGCTCGCGAACTCAGCATCTCCGAATTGCCAAGAGAAGCCTGCCTGAGCGCCGTCATTAGGCACATCCCACTCCACGGGCGAAACTGGGGACCACCCTGCTTCCAGCAAGTACAGAATCACAGTGGATAGTGGACCTCGCACATGTCGACTCCGCAACTCAGGCTTGATGCTCATCAGGTGCTTGACTGTGGCTGGCCATGCTAGAGAGATCGACGGCCTGAGCTGCGGCTCCTCCAACCATACTGAAAGCCATAAAGATATACACTGACGAGGTAGAAGAGCAGCAGGATCGGCGCCAGGCAGCCGCAATGCCAGGAGCGTGGTGAGGCATCGTCCTCGCTTGGACGAGCCTGCTGCCGCCCCCAGGCGCCGCCGCTGCAGCTGCATGTTGGACCCGAACGCGCCGAAGACCTGGTGGCCGTGCACCGCCGACGCCTGTGGCCCCGCGCGCTGCAGCTTGGCCGTGGCCCTCCACCGCCCGGCGGCCTGGGCGAAGCGCCTCAGCCTGCCGTGCGCCTTGGCGGCCTTGGTGCCTCTCTTGCGCACCGTGGCCCTGCCGTGGCGACGCCCCGCGCTCAGGTCCACGCCCAAGTACGCCGACTGGAGCACCGCCGACAGCGATGCGCCTCGCCTCGCCAAAACCCTGGCTACTGCAACTGCATCGCTATGATGGGAACGAGCGACCGCGCTGTTTGGGGAAATGCCCAAGCCAAGACGCCTAAACTCCTTGACAGTGGACAGAATCCCCGTGATGAGTGTAGTCCGAACGTGCCGCCTCGATCCTGCCACACGCTGCGACAGGTCGTCGATCCAGATCCGCTCCGACATCGACGGGTGCATGACGCAAAGCTTCTTGCACGCGAAAGCCGTCAGGCACTTGGCGAACCTGGCGCCGTTCCGCAGCCCCTGCACGATGGAGCACGTGGCCTGGAACGGCTCTGACACCGAGTCGAGCTGCTGCAAGAGCCTCGGGATGAGGCACAACTGCAACCCGAGAAAGAGAATCACAGGTGGGAACCCCTTCTTGGCTGCGCATCGTGCCAGGGCCCCCCACTCCATGCAGTCATAAAAGGCCTCCACGTCGAGAAGCTCATGTCCGTGACTGATGTTGAGCCTGGACTGAGACTCATCCTGAAGCGCCATGATGAACGCCTCCTTCAGGGCGCTGTTGCCTGCGATGGCCGCGTCCCAGTGGTCGTCCTGCTGAGCCGACCACTCCTTCACCTGCACCTCTCGGGCCATAGACCAGGCACGGCGCAGCGTCGACAGCAGGCCGACGACGCGATCGCCGCCCGACTTCTTGGCCAGCAGCCTCCCGATCATGCACATGACCTGCCACGGCCAGGAGAGGCCCTCCTCGATGGATGCGAAGAGGTCGCACATCTCCTGAAGCCCTTACTGCGGCAGGCGCTCGAAGTCGAGCGGGGGCAGCCGATCTACTCCGAGGCCCGCGCGAGCCTTCATGCCGCGCAGCGCCGCCCTCAGGTCGCTGACCGAGAGTGGCTCGAGGGCCTCTATTTCCGCGAGCGCCCTGACATCGTCGAAAGTGCTCATGATGCTGCTGTGGGAGGCTGACCCTCGCCACTTGGCCTGCCACTTCTCCACTTTCATGTCTGCTATGTCAATGGGGTGGACGAGAACCCCCGTGTCCACGTCGAGCTCGTCGGGTTCGGGATCGCCGTCCTTGACGCTGCGGTGAACCTGTCCTTGCGTCGCCGTGGAGCTGACCCAGTCCTGGAACTCGCGCAGCGAGGCCGCGGCGGCGCGGCTCTGCGCACGGCGGGCTGCCCTGAAGCACCGCTCCTCCCAGTCTGCCAGCTGGTCGATCGAGAGATCACCCAGCCGGCGCATGTCAGCCAGGAGAGAGCCCCAGCAGCCTTGCCCAGGCGGTAGCGCAGCTCCTGCGCCGTCCAGCGGCAAGTCCGCCAAGCGGCGGGCGGCTTCGGCTAGCTGCAGCACCTGGCTCTCGCTTTTGCGCCGCCGCCTGCGCCGCAGCGCGCGCTGCGCCACCGCGCGGGGCCTGCTCCACCAGCCAGCCACCCCATCCTTGAGCGGCTGGCTCCTCACATGCTCGGCTTGGCGCACTGGCATCACTCGCGCGTCGAACCCTTCCCTCCGAGAGACTCTGGGCTGAGCAAGGTCGTGATGGCATGAGATAGTGCGCTCCACAGTGTCGGTCCATCGCGAGAACTGATTGCTTATGGGCAGGATATGTTTCTCGCCCACTTGGTAGGCAAGCGATTGCTTAATGGGCGACCAAACGTCGGAAGAAGAGTGTGAGCGCCAAGGAACTTGAGCCGAAATGGCCGCGTACGTGGAGCTGGGGATGTAGAAAGTCGGGAGGGGAGCAGGAGCGGCAGCAGCATCCGCAGGGGCGAGATTATGCTGCTCCTCGGCCGTGCCGAGGCCCGTCCCCCCCAGGGCCAGACGCAGGGGCTGGGCCGCTACCCTCACCTTCGCCAACTCCATTTCCAGATCCCCCATCCAGAGGTCGGACAGACTTTCGAGCTCTGACTCGGGTCACAACTGCTCATTCGCTGCTGGTCGATGCTACTGCAAGGCTTGAAACAGGACTCGTCGGCCCAAGGGTCTTCTTCCTCGAGGCCAAAGTCCAGATCAAAACCTTCAAAATCGGGGCCCAAATCAGGGTCCTCAGCAGAGAGGGCTTCGGGATTTTCACCCGCGGCCCCTGGCTCCGAGAGATCCTGAGCAGCAGGCCCTGAAGGCCTGGACGCCGAAAGAGCGTCGGACAACAAATTATCACACTCGGCTCTGATGCGCTCTCGGGCCTGCTGCGCCTTCTCCTGATGCGCAAGCTTAGCTACACTGCTCTTGGAGCCCGCGGTGGGGGAGGCAAGGGGGCGGGGGACCTGGGGGAGGCGGGGAGCAACCTCGAGAGAGCGCATACGAAGCTGCTGCCCAGCCCCACGCAGGCGAATCGAGAGACCACAATGCGGGCTCCAGGGCACATCTGTGACTGCTGACATGCTGTGAATATAAGGAAGACAGCCCTCGGACGCAACAACAAAATCGATATGTGAACCACCTGCGCTCCCGACGCAAGTGAATTCTATATCTGCCCGCTTGGTGAATCCTTTGATTCGCTTCAAGAGCGCCGACCTGTCAAACACACTGATATCAATGTTGAAATCACCGACTATAAACCAAGGCAGTTGCACGCTCTTCAGGGAAGCTCCAAGACGTGCGAAACGCTGCAAGTTTTCTCCAGCAAATCCTACCGAAGGGTGAG